ATATTCACACAATGGAATACTATGCTGCATTGAAAAACAAGGAACTCATTAAACATTATTCAAAATGGGTGACTCTGGAAGACATTATGCTGAGTGACATATCTCAGACAGAAAAGGACAAATACTGCACTGCATAGTATCACTGTTGTAAAACTAGACTGACATCAGAATTGGGGGGAGGCTGAGAAAGATGGGATAAATTATGTATAATGCATTGAAATAGATGAGGGAGAGAACTGTTTAAAAGGGATATATTATTAGGTATTATTGTAATGACAGGAGTTCAGAATGAAGGTTGCATAGTGGAGTGGACTTGGGGAGAGGGATTGTATAACAATGAAAGAATTTTTCTTTTCCTTTTTAAAGAGAAGAGCAAACTATAGAGGAGGGGTAGGCAGAAAGGAAAGTGCAACAATGAATGATTGGAAATGCAATGTCTTTGTAACTTTTCATTAAAATTAATATTAATAATAAAAAATTAAAAATAACTGAAACCATGCAATACTTTGGCTGTTAGCAATATTACTAATGTTTGGGCACCAAAAACTAAAAAGGCTCTGCTTGTGATTGGTTGAGGTGCTGCTTATTGTTTTGGTTTTTTTACAATCATATTCTGACAGTTGTTTTACTGAGGCATCAAATTAGTTGAAAGTAGGATATGTAACAAGAGACACAGGACCTCCATGACTATACTGGGAAAAAGACTCAAACTGTTTTAAAAACTTGTGCAGTAGCTATGTATGTGTACATTATATATCACATTTTACAATGTAGAACTATGTCTATTAATACAGTTTCAACTGAGTCACTTTGTTTAAAATGTAAATACATTTAATAACTATCTTAAAGTATGTGGTTTGAATACACTAGCAGCTCCATGGGAGAAAAATAGACAGTCTCCTCCATTGTTATTTATTGTCTCTGAAAAACTGCTGAAAGGTCAGGCAGAGGTCAGTTCTGACTCAATGCTAGTCAATAACAACAACAACAACAACAATTAAGGGAAATCTTTTGAGTGTAGGGGAAAAAATCAGCTACTTCTTGCCAGTGTGTTTTTATAAACTAAGTGGACATTCACCCTCAGAAATAAGCATATCTTCAGACGTAAAAGATCAGAAGACAATAAACATACCAAAATAAACTTCTAGCAAAATCAGCCCATCCTTAAGCCTCTTGTACTTGCAAGATCACCATGATACTGAGGGAGTTGCTCTGCAAGTGACTGTTGAGCTATGGAAGCAGGAATAATAGCAGTTAGACTTAAACACCACTACATCTCATTTTAGCCCCAGGAAGAACTCAATTTTCAAATGTCCTGTGCCCCTGTTATAGATTGGTGCAACTGTAAAATAGCATTATGTGGAATTGTTCTTTCTTTGTTGTTGTTGTTGTTGTGTTCCGTTAAGTCGCCTGCGACTCATAGAGACCCTATGTACAACAGTCCTAAACCCTGCTCTATCCTGTGCCAATCACACTGCCCCTTACACACCCATCCTGATTACTTCAGTCACTGAATCAATCCACCTCATAGAGGGCTTTTCCCTCCTGCGCTGTCCCTCCACCCTCCCAAGCATGATGTCCCTCTTCAAGGACCGACCGGTCCCTCCTTACAACATGTCCAAAGTATGTTACACGGAGCCTCAGAAATTCTTTCTTTAGTGAAGATAAACAAAAGAATGAGTTTAAGCTCCCACCCCCCAATATCTTGAAGTCTTCTTCACCAATAGTTAACACGTAGTAGACTCACTGCTTTCTTACTTGAGAAGGCAAAGATGCTATCTTGAAACTGGAACTTTTAGAAAGAACCTAATAAAAATCCATTTTTATAATGTTACTTTCTACTATGTGTTAATTTAGGCTCTGAATCTAGGCTGATAGACTCAAACCATTGTTGTTGCGTTCTGTGGAGTCCATAAAGTTCACCAGAGGAAATTGTTCATTTTTCTCTCATTGAGCGTCTGGATTTGAACTGTATGCCTTTGAATTGGCAGCACAGCTCTTTACCATTAGGCCACTAGAGCTCACTGTTCAACCTTTAGCTAGTTACTAAGTCTCTGTGCTCAATTTCACTGTAATAAGATAAACATATGGTATTAAAAGAATGATTTATAAACCTGCCTGGAATATCTAAGATAAGAGCCTATAGGTTGTAAATATTCTATTGTTATAGTTTATATTGATACTGATTTCTCATAATCATATCTTTAGAACTAAAAAAATAATTTAAAAGCAGGTTTTGGGGTTTTATTTTGCTTTCTTTTTTTGTTCTGTTTTATTAAATAAAAATAATCTAAACTCAGTACTGTCTGGAAAAGAAAAGACTTTTTCACAGTAAAGAGGTAATTTAGAGACCTGGTTTACTGTGAAGTGGGGAATTGTACTAACTTCCTGAGAAAGTGGAAATTTGTGATTTGCTTAGATGGAAAAAGAAAGAAAACAAGGAACTGAATCAATGTATTCTGCTTATCTAACTCTGTAGCATAAAGATCAGTGAAAAATGTGCAATTAAAAAATTAAAGAGAAGGAAACAGAGCTTGAAAATAACGAATGATAGTTAAAAAATATTTCACTTCAATTATGTTAAAAATTGTGCAAAATAAAAACTTGGTGTTTTAAAACTTTTGAGCAATAATAGTATGAACTCTCTAGTAAACCACCAAAGAGAGGTATGTATCTACTAGAATATTATACAAGCTGATATTAAAGTGAAAAAAAACTCTAGGATCCTCAAATGTTTACGTGTAATCTTAATAATAGATCTGTTTCCTAGAGCTGCTGTAACATTACACTACAAATGGGATGGTCTTTGAGAACAGAAATTTATTCTCTCAGAATTCTGAAGATAAGGAACCCGAATCCAGAGCTGTCAGTAGGGTTATGTTATCTGTGATGGCTATGGGTAAATAGCCTTCTCATCTTAAATTCTGATAATCTTCGGTGCTCCCTGGTTTGTGGTTGTAGCATAACTCTATTAATATGTAGTCATCTGTATAGATGTTCTAACACTTCTCTCAGAAAACATCATAAAGAAGAAAATAATTTTTTTACAGGGAAAAAAATTATCTCAACACTCTGGAGGACTGGTCCATGGGGGGTGTGCTGCTAATCCCCTCTGGTGGTGAGAAACAGCTAGCAGCAAGTGAGAGAAAGATGAACAATTTCCTCTTACGTGATTTATAACCTTGGAAATCCAGTGGAGGCTCAGCTATAAATCACTTCTGACAATCTGTAAGAATACGAAAGAAAATGAGGAAGGAGGCAGTCTGAGATTAGGACGTTGGCCAGTTCAAGTCTCCCTGATGATTTTTAAAAAGAAACTACCTTACACTTATCTTCATATTTCTGCATACTGCAGGCCTCCCTCAGAGATAGCTGCAGTGTCTTACACTGTCTTCTTCTGCCTCGTGCTCAGTATCTATCCTCTTTTATGAAAACATCACTCAAATGAGATAAAGATTCACTCTAATATGATGTTAATTGGTAACATCTTCAATGACCCTATTACTAAACAATGCCACTTTTATAGGTTCCAGGGGCTAAGACTCCAAAATAAACTTGGCAGGGAGGCATAATTTAGCCCATAACAGATGGCAATAATGCTTATCCTCAAACCAATCACTAGCAGTAGATATGCAATTACCATCATTGATTTAGAATAATAAATGTCATTCACCCTCTGAAGCTAAAGATCCCTCAATAACAAAACAAAATTAAAGTTCTGGTGGAGAGGGGGTAGGAGATAGTATTAGGCAGACAATTAGCAATGCCTTCTTCATAAATTATAGTTGGAGAAGGCCAATTTATTTGTCTGTTTATCCTAAATTTCATAAAAGGAGGACAGGGAACTCTGGTGAACTAGTGGTAAAGAGCTGTGCTGTCAACTCAAAGTCGTACGGTTGGAAAGCACAAGCTGCTTCATAGAAGA